CTGGAAGTTATGCATTTAAGGACTGCCTTTTCTCCATCTTTCCTGGATGCTTTTCACTTCCGTGACTCACTAGTGGTGAATGGTCATAAAATTCAAAATAATTTTCTGAAGGTCAGCAACAGGAGCTGAGAATCTCCAGAAAAGAGAAAAATACAGAGTTAAAATGCATATATATTTACGTTTTTTCTTTCAAGTGTTGTAAATGCTCAAAGCTTTTTACCTTCATGCATTCTATGCATAAAGGTAAAAAACATTCTGTGTGCAGCATCAACCCCCAGCAACTTACTTGAGCCCGATCCAGCGTTGTTCATGAGAGCATTGGCTCCCCGGGTATCTCCATTCTCATTGGTTGAGACAGCAGAGATAGTAATTGGCTCCCGCTAATGTCAGTCACAAGCAGTGCGCCGGGCCGAGCCATGCTCCGTGTGTGAATGGACACAGCAGCGACTTGGGAGCAAGCCTGCTCAGGTGCCCCCATAGCAAGCTGCATCCTATGGGGGCACTAGGCAGTAGGGAGAGGCCAGGAGCAGGGGACCCAAGAAGAGGAGGATCAGGGTTGCGCTGTGCCATTACAAAACCATTACACAGAGCAGGCAAGTATAACATTTTACATTATTTTTAAACTAAAAAATTATGCCTTTAATATCAACTTTACGTTCAAAACAGGGAGGAGCACCAGAAAGGATTCTTCACAACCCTGTAAATCAGCCCAGGAAGAGGGACCCCATTAAAGCCTTGTTAGTATCATAGCATGCCTGCAGCAGGATTTATGGTTGGTAAGGTTGAATAAAGACACCAGTCCATCTAGTTCAACCATTGTGCATTTATATATCTCTACCACTTCGCATATCCCTGTATATCGTGTTCAACAAGATGCCCAACTAACATTTTTTTTTTTTTTTTAATTAAATTAGCAACACTTCCAACTGAAACCACCGATAGTGCAGTAAGGATGTGGAATGCCTTTCCACAAACAGTAAAGAACCCTCTACACGGTTTATGGTTAAACGCGTCTTGTCCAACTTCATTTTCTGGATTGCGTGCCTCGAGTTACCTGCGACTGAAAAAAGTTTCCTTCCAATGTTGGAACCACCATTAAGGCATTTGTACATCGTTCTATCTCCTCTTAAGCATCTCTTCTACAAAGGAGAATAAGTTTAATGTTTATAATGGTTTCCCATAACTGAGGTCCTCCAGTCCCCTTATTAGTTTTGTTGCCCTTCTCTGTTCTCTCTCCAGTTCCAGCACATCCCTCCTGAGGGCTGGTGACCAGAACTTGATGGCATACTCAGTATGTGGCCAAACCAGAGCTTTGTAAATGAGTAGAATTAGAGTTTGATCTCTTGAGCAAATACCCTTTTTAATACACACTAATATTCTACTGGCCTTGTTTGCTGCAGCTTGGCATTGCATGCTAGGGCTGAGTCTGTGACTAGTTTGTTCTGCCTGCAGACAGTCCAGGGAGTTACAGGGCCCTGACATCTGCATGGCAGGGTCTGAAAGGCACTTTGGTGCATGGACATCTTCCTCCATATCCTGAAGCAACCACAAAGGAAAAACTGGCTTACAAAAGACTGCTCTTATAGTTAACAGTGTTGGCAAGCCTAGGACCCATAGTTCCATTCACAGCTGGGATCAAACTACCTTTTCTTTCACAAGAACTCCTATTCTTTGGTGGTGAAAACACAATCTGGATGCTACCCAGTGCTTTTTGCATTAGGAGACTTGACCCAAGAGGGATTCCACAATGTGGAAGGAACCATCTATTCTGGAAATCCAGAATGTAGTCCAGGAGACAAGGATTCTTCAACAAAAGGAACCTTCTGGACATAGGGAGAGAAGTCCTTATCAGCTGCATGATTGGGTGACTGAAGGACCAGGCAGGAAACAAACGGATCCTTCAAGGCAGACACACTAGTATGCTCAGGGGCTAGCCCACAACAGCAAACCAAGATGCTGAGGTATATTGAGAAGAGATGGAAGGGAAAACAAAAAAGAAGAAGAAGAGGTGCCTCAGATAGTAAAGTCTCTCAAGAACCAATGCTCCTGAAAAAGTAAGGCAACTAGCCAAGGGCCCACAGGGATTAGCAAACATCCCCTTGCTTTGACAAGTATGGTCGCACCTTCATGCTGAAGACTTCAAGGGTTTAGTGGGTTTCTTGCTTCCAGCCTTGTGGGCTGCCAGGAAACCATGCTTAGAGGGTCTGGCTGTACCTACTACTGGAGCTGGTGAAAAGAGGGTTGGGATTCAGTCAACCTTTCCTTAGACTTCTTAACACTGAGGCAAGTGAATGCTCCTGACCTCCAGTGATATCCTTGAAGACAAGAACGTCAAAACGTAGGTCAGAAGAAAACGTCCCTCAAAGACCAAGCAAGAGAGGTGCTCCCTGGATACAGCAACTATATTTAGGTGTTAGCCTTAAGTTTTACTTTAAGCGGAGTATATTTTTTGGAACTGTAATTGATGATACATTGGGCAGCTTGTGCCAGACTTGACTCAGGAAGTGACTGTTCAGTGTGTAGGTTGTTTCGGGGTTTTCTGGCCCCTTTCCCTGTACTAAAAAAACACAATCCAGCTCTAGAGAGTTAGGAATGCTTTTCCATCCAAAATATACACCTACCTTCAGAGAATCCACCAGATCCTCCACCAGGAAAAGACGCCTCAGCTCCTTAAGAGTGCAGTTGACATGTCCCAGGGCAACATTGCTATACTTATTAACAAGTTCTTCAGACACAGCCACATTGGAATCCAGATAAGATCTAAAAATGACGAAACAGAGGCAGATCAGAATACGGACTTTTCCAAAGTTCAGTTGTTTAGAGTCTCATTCACACAACACACTTCCTAGCTTGGGTTTCTAAATTGTGTTGCAGGGCATTCTGCGTTTTACCATGAGCTGCAGCCCATCACACCATGCTACACAAGAATGCAACATGTCCTATATTTTTTCAGTGCATACCAACACAGCTTTCCTTCTATCTCTAATGCAGGGGTGTCAAACTGGCGGCCCTCCAGCTGTTACGAAACTACAAGTCCCATCATGCCTCTGCCTTTTGGGAGTCATGTTTGTAACGGTCAATTTTGCAATGCCTCATGGGACTTGTAGTTTGGCAACAGCTGGAGGGCCACCAGTTTGACACCCGTGCTCTAATATAAACAGAGCAGGAGTTCTGGGAAGGGGAGTAGAGTTGCTGAGAGGACGACTTCAGCACCTCTGCTGGGAACTTTACAGGTATTACTTGCTCATAGTAATCTGTAAAGTTCCCAGCAGAGGTGCTGAAGTCGTCCTCTCAGCAACTCTACTCCCCTTCCCAGAACTCCTGCTCTGTTTATATTAGAGCACGGGTGTCAAACTGGTGGCCCTCCAGCTGTTGCCAAACTACAAGTCCCATGAGGCATTGCAAAATTGACCGTTACAAACATGACTCCCAAAAGGCAGAGGCATGATGGGACTTGTAGTTTCGCAACAGCTGGAGGGCCGCCAGTTTGACACCCGTGCTCTAATATAAACAGAGCAGGAGTTCTGGGAAGGGAGCAGAGTTGCTGAGAGGACGACTTCAGCACCTCTGCTGCAAACTTTGAGGATTACTTGCTCCATAGTACCTGTAGATACAGGAGGTCAGTGATGGTTTAATTTTTAAGCTCATTTACTGCCTGCTAGAAATCTGAAGATTTGAATGTCCATGGCCTGCTGACAGGTTCACTTTAAAAATAGTTAAAATGATCTGGTGATAAACTTTGTTGTCTAACTGCAAAGCTTACAGATCTCAACCATAGTGTAAAAATGTACAATTGCCGTACCATCTTCCATGCTTCCCCACACCATTAAGCCATGACGTTTGCTGCCAAAAATAGTCTGGGCTCTGTAAAGTGAGAGCTCTCCTAGGGGTTCACAAGGATTGCTCTGCAAGATTTCTCCACAACACTGCGGAGAAAATGAACAGGACGTCCTGTTTCGACACCCCTTACAGATTGTAATCTGATGAGCTTAGTTCAAATATTCTTAAAATGTCATACAAATAGCAGAAAAAAAAAAAAAAAAAAAAAAAGGTTCCCTGAAAGGAACAGCTTCACTTGTGAAAGCAGATTGGGATCGGCTGAGTAACAGTGGTCTCTAATGCCATGGAACAGGTCAGTAGGGGGGTGAGGGAATTAAACTATGTATGCTTTACATCACCAAAAGTATGAGAAGGGTGATGACCAGTGCAGAACGGTGAAGAAGCACAGATCTAGTCTGGTGGATATTTTAGGTACAAGGTCTGAAGATGGGTCAAGCAGTTACGGCATTCCTGCTTCGATGACCTTGACAAGGCTTTCCCTAAACTGCTCAGTATGTGGAGTATGTCTGCATAAGGGGAATTTGCAGCAGATCGCTCACAGTGCAACTAAAAAAGGCACTGATGCCACAGCCGCACTGTCAATTTCAGTACAGTAAGGGCTGACACAAAATTCACTTAGGCCAGCAGCTCTGAACAAGCGCTTAGCAACTTTCTGAAAATACCATTTGCTTTAAATAGAACTTTGTTTCAAGCTGAAGAATGTTTGAATGGCGTAGTACAGTAAGATGAAAAAGGTTAAAAAGGTCCTTTCAGACAGGCGACGTCCATTCCATTCATTCAGCAGGGGATCCGAGAACAGATTTCCTGCTGAATCAGAGCAGAACAGAATGGATGTCACTTCTTATGATATCTGTGCCTAGTCAGTTATTTACTATTGAGCTGCATATACCCTTGTTTATAGGCAGGCGGATGTTAGACTAGCATTCGGTTTTGTTCCCCAACCCTAGATGGACTCCTACATAGCTGGATGTAAATGGACACATTCTCCTACCCAGAAATCAATCACAGCTGGATGCAAACGGACGCATATTCTCCTATCCATAAATCAATGATAGCTGGATGTAAACAGATGCATATTATACCCGTAAGTCACAGCTGGATGTAAACGGACACATTCTACCCATAAATCACAGCTGGATGTAAACGTATGCATATTCTACCCATAAATCACAGCTGGATGTAAACTAATGCATATTCTCCTACCCATAAATCATAGCTGGATGTAAATGGACGCATATTCAACTACCCATAGATGCAGGGGCGGACTGACAACTCATTCATGGGGCCCCCGGGCAATAGGGGATCATGGGGCCCGTGGCCTTGCCCACACTCAAGCCACACCCAAAAAAGCCTATGAAAAAAAAAAGGTAGCAGGGGCATCTCATGGGGCCCCCTACTGACCCTTGGCCCTTGGGCAGTGCCCGAGTGGTCAGTCCCCCCTGCATATATCACAGCTGGATGTAAACTGATGCATATTCCCCTACCCATATATCACAGCTGGATGTAAACAGACACACATTCTCCTACCCATATATCAAAGTGGAACTTTAATTAAAAAAAAATTAAGTGATCAATCACTTAACCATTAGCCGCCCGGCCAATGGCCGTTTGGCGGCTTCAAAAGTGCTGCTGCATTCCGGGTGCACGCCATTTGGCGTGCTCCCGCACATGCGCAGTTTGCGCTAATGCAGAGCGGCGCACCAGCGTGATCTGTCACCGGCCGTGTACCTCGGACACGGCCGATGACAGATCTGAGTACCGGCCCCCGTTGCTGGTACCATGTGACCTGCTGTGACCAATCACAGCAGGTCACATGACAGTTGTATACAATGGATGGCTTCATTCATGCCATCCATTGTATACTAGTGCCTAGCTGTGAATGGTCACAGCTAATCACATGCACATGTCATGTGATTAGCTGTGACCAAATCACAGCTAAGCACAAAAAAAAAAAAAAAAAAAAGCTGAATGAATCGATTTCATTCAGGTAAATGCTTGCTTATAGCAAAGTAATTCTTTGCTATAAGCAAATTGTGTAAGAAAAAAAAAAATACTGATCACTTCCCCAAAGTAGTACAATGTTACTAAGGTAACATTGTACTACTTTGGTCATAGTAAAATATAAAAAAAAAAATCTTAAAAAAAAATAAAAAAAAGTAATAAAAAATTAAAAATAATAAAAAAAATATATTTTTTTTTTCCATACTGTCACCAGTCAGTGTCCCTGTTCACCGCCATGCCAGTTATATGATGACGCTGTACTGCACTGGTGACAGTATGTAAAAAAAAAAAAAATAGTGAAAATTTTTTTTAATTATTTGATTTTCCGAAAAATTATGACAAAAAAAATACAACTTCAGAAAACTTGCCATGCTTCTTATGAAGTATGTCGGACTGTCTACTCTGCAAAAAGGGGTCATTTGGGGGATATCTGTACTGTTCTGACATTCTTGGACCTCAAAAAATTAGATTGGCTGTCAGTACTTCAGGATTGATCAATATTCAGATCTATACCATAGTTTGTGAACTCTATAACTTTCCTACAAACTAAAAAATACATCCTAATTTGGGTTATTTTCACCAAAGACATGTAGCAGAATACATCTCGGCCTAAATTTATGAAGAACAATTATTTGTAAACTTTTATAACAGAAACAAAGAAAAACGTGGGTTTTTTCAAAATTTTTCGTCTTTTTTTGTTAATTTAGCAAAAAATATAAACCCCAGCGGTGATTAAATACCACCAAAAAAAAGCTCTAGTTGTGTGAAGAAAATGATAAAATTTTAGTTTGGGTACAGTGTTGTATGACCGCAGAATTGTCATTCAAAGTGTGAGAGCGCTGAAACGTGAAAAATGGCCTGGGCAGGAAGGTGTAAAATTGCACGGTATTGAAATGGTTAAGGCTGGCCCCTATTGTTGGTATAGCTATGTAAAAAATAAAAATAAGTACCTATACTGTTTAAAATTCAGTAATACAGTCTCCCTCTGCTCTGCACAGCCTCAGTTCTCCGTTCTCGGCATTGTGTCAAAAATCAGAGCCACCAGAGGCAGATCTGCTGGCAACCTAAAGATTTACTTTACCAGGCTTCAGCAAAATGGCAGCCTCCAGCAAGAAGAAAACAGAAGCAATACTAGAGGCAGTTTACAGCACACACTAATTTTGGTGGCATAACTATTAATGTGGAATGTTTGGTATAGATAAAGTTAAACTTTAACATTCTTTAGCAAGGAACAATTTGATAAAAAAAAATAAAATGTAATTCCACATTAACATCCCTTTAAAATCGTTCATTTGGGTCAAGCTGGCCCAAGTGAACCAATTACTGAACAAGTGCACTTGCTAGGCACATTGTATTAAAAACCTTACGTAGCCTCAGCTATATACAGAGCTGTATACCAGAACCATGACTGGAATAATAAAGAGTCGGGCTGACGGCTGCTCAGCTATTTATGGGAAGCTTTGTATTCTATGAATGAAGAGAAGGCTTCTTCTGACTGGCTGAAGCAAAGATTGTGACATCTCTTCGTCTCTGCCTCAGCCAATCAAAGGAAGCCTTGTATTAATTTAGGCATTTAAAAGTGATTGTTTATTTTCATAACATAACAAAAAAAAAAAACTTTTTACAAACATGTAAAACGTACCTGCTCTCTGGTGCTTGCTCAATGGTTTTTGCACAGAGCAGCCCTGATCCATCTCTTCTTTTGCCCCCCCATCGGTGCTCCTGGCGCTCCTCTTCACCCATTGCCTCCATGGGAAGCGGGGCTTTCCATATGGGGGTTCACTCCCAAGATCCCCTGCCTGTGTCCATAGACACAGTGGGGCATAGTCCCTCACCCTCAGTTTGCAGCGGGAGTCATTGGCTCTCCCACTTCTGTCAATCGATTTCCCTTGTCAGGAGGGACAGAGTTGGGAGAGCCGCTGCTCTCATGCACAGTGATGGATCTTGGGCTTAGGTAAATATTAAGGAAAAAGGGGGGGGGGGGTTTAAAATATACAAAGATGAGCTGCACAGTTTTGTTTTGCATCAGTTCAGGGCTATAATTACTCTTTAGCCAATGACCACAAGACAAATACCCTGATCATGTTTTGCTGATAGGATCAGCACAGTCAAATATTTAGTATGAACTATCATTCCTTTTCCTGTCCAGTAATGCATGTGGCCAAATCACATTACCGTCTGCTCATTGTTTGTTTTTACTACCACTTTAGGCTAAATTATATTTGCTACTTTCAGTTATGTATATTATAATCCCATTCAAAAACTAAAAAATATTTAGGAACAAAAGAAAATTTAAAAAAATAAAAAAAAGTGTGTCCAAAAATAAAAACCACAAAAGTTGGGTGAAGTTCCTCCTCAATATTACAGATCCATAAACACTGATGAACTTATGGAAGAAAGGCTTCCTCGACGTTTCCTCCATCATTCTGGGATAAAAATTCCCCTGGCACACTTATTCATGCTGTATGTAAAAGCATATGACATAGCCCCTCCTGATCCAAAATACTCATAACACCAAATAATAACACACCAATCTGGTTGGGGTGTTGTTGGGTTGGGTTGGTGGGTTTTGGGGGTGAAGTTGTTTTTTTTTAAATTTTTAGTACTATTATTTGGTTTTGTTGGGGTTATTTTTTTTTTGGTTTGTTGTTTTTCCCCCCCCCCACCCCCCCACAAACCCCCCCCCCCCCCAACCCACCCCCCCCCAACCCCCAACCCCACCCCCCCCCCCCCAACCCCCCAAAACCCCCCCACCCCCAACCCCCCCCCCCCCCCCCCCCCCCATCCCCCCCCCCCCAACCCCCAAATAAATACCCCCCAAAACCCCACCCCCCCCCCCCCCCCCAAAAACCCCCCCCCAACCCCACAAAATTAGGACCCCACCCAAACCCCCCCCCAACCACCCCCCAAATCCCCCCCACCCAATTAACAAAAACCCCCCCAAAAACCCAAACCCCCCCCCCCCCCCCCCCCCCCCCCCCCCCCCCCCCCCCCCCCCCCCCCCCCCCCCCCCCCCCTGTTATTTTTTTGTTTTTAAAAACCCCAACCCACCACCCCCCCCCCCTTGTTCCAAAATTGTTTTATCTTGGAAATTTTTTTAACCCCACAAACCCAACATTATTTTTAAATATTTTGAACACCCCACCCGTGTTTATTTTTTTGAAACTTACATCCAATATGTTTAATTGTTTATTTTTTTCATTAAAAAAAATCTTAATTTATATTGGTTTAACTTTTAAATGTGTTTTGTTTTAATTTTGGTCTTGTGTCTCTGGTATCAATATATTGTTTTTATTTATCCCTTACATGGAACAAACCAAACCCCCCCCCCCAACCCCCCCCCTTGACTTGTTTTGGGGGTTTCCCCACAACCCCCACAAAAACAAAAAAAACCAATTTACTGTTTACCTTTTTTTCTTAAACAACACCCCCCCAAAAAAATGGGGGAAAACTACAACAACCACAACGACCCTTGATTTTTTGTGTTTGTGGGGTGATATTTTATTTTTACCTACACTTAGTTTTTTTTTGTTAGGGACCCCACCCAGGAACATTACCAAACCCCCTTGGGAATGTTGGAGCCCCACCTATCTTTTATTTTACCACAAACCCCATTACCACCCCAAAACCATTAAAATGACAAACCAAACCCAGTTTTAGGACCCACCAAACCAACAAAAAAAACACCTTAGTTTTTTTGGCCCCCAACCAAGGGGGGGTTGTACCCCCACCCCGTACCCCCCCCCCCCTAACAATCTAACCCCCCCCTTTTTGTTCCATAACCCCCACGCCCCCTTGTACTGGATTAAAAGGTTCCCCCCCCCTTTTTTTTTTTAGTAAGTTTTTTTTATTTGTTTTTTGTTTTTTTTATGTTTGTTATGTGTTTGTTTGTTATAATTTTTTAGTTTTTCAAATAACCCAAATTACACTCCACATTGGGTTTTTGTTTATCCACTATGGATTGTTGGGTTTTTGGTTGCCCATGTTTGGTTCATACCCCCCCCCCCCCCACCCAACTGGGATGTTTTGTTTATTTTTTAATGAACCCCCCCTCCCCAACATTTGCCCACCATACCCCAATATTTTTGTTTTTACAAAATTTGAAATTTTTTTTTAACACTGTTATTGTTCCCAAAGGCAACTATGGGGTATTAAAAACCCCCCTTTATTTTTTTTTGTGGTTTGGTAAAGGTTAAATGTTGGTTGATACACCCTTTCCCAACCAATAAAACAATTTGCTTACATGAACTGGGGAGTTGTAGTCATTTTTTGTTTTTTTTTTTTTTCCCCCCCCACCCCCAAGTTTTTTTTTTAGAGTTATTGGTTCTGTTGCGGGGGGGGGTTTATATAAAATTTAAACTGTTTGATTTTGGTTAATTTTTGATTTTTGTTTTTTGATAGGGGTTTGTTTTTGGGGGTAACTTGTTCAAAATTTGGTGTGG